CTTTTACTAAGTGATTAATAAGATGCTGACAACTAGCATTTCCTATAAAGGGAAACCTCAGTCATATAAACCAAACCTCATATCACTTCTATCCATATAAAGCAGTGAAGATGAAAATCATTTTTTCTTCCTTTACTAAGTGATAAATAAGACAACTACCATTCCCCATAAGGGGCAACCTCAATCATATTGCATGCCTAAATTCAATCCATGACTACCTTGCTTACCAACAAACCAAATTACCGAGAGAGATGTGTTAAGGTAGATCATAGACATACACATACAGACATAAAAGATCGTCAAGTACTGTAAAAGGAAAATCATCATCACCCAATAGCAAAAAACAATTTCGTCCAGGGTATGGACACCCGACTGCTAAAAAATCTCACATTTTCATTTTGTCCTCTCTTCTTGTGCTTTTGAATCTACAAGTACCAGCAAAGGCCCAAGAAACCACCCGAGCTCATATATCTGCAGTGAGTTTTCTTTTTTGTCCGACTTTTTTTTTACCAAGCTTAGAATTCAAAAGCATAAAACAATGTGGTATCTTTAATGCAAATATCACATATAAGCAATGAAATGATTATTAACAAATACAAGTTCTAACTGCCATTCTTTCTCCTCATATTCAGTCACCCTTTACTAAGAGAGAGTGATCATATGGCAGCTAATTATCAGCTAAGGTGTTGTATAAACAGAATGCCAAATTTCAAGACTTCGGGCAGGCTTTGGCTGGTTTACATTTAAAATCCTAGTCGAAATAAAGATTACAACATTTTTTTTCCGATTTTAGATAGTTTGTTTGGCTCAATTTTACATTCCACAACCTAATTTCCAAATTTGGGTTAGTACCATAATAGTGGGAATCATTCTATTACTGGAAATTTATAGAACTAGAGAGCAGTATACTTGAAATTCTGGAAAATCTTGCAAATACTTCCTAAATCAATAAACAGATACAGGCATAGAAAAAATTACAAATAAAATTTTCTTTTAACAGTGGAAAAAACACAACATGTTTATGCCAAACATGACCTTTTATTTTGAAAAATCATCAAGGAAAAGGAGAACAAGAAGCCATAATTTTTTCATTTTTCAGCAAGGAAACAAAAATATACAGTAATGTACTCCTCCGCTAGCACATAAACCTCCCACCACCCAACAATTGACAGTGCAGGATTAGTTAGGACAAAAGATCCTTGGTTACAAGAAGACACCATAACCACAATTAAATACCATTAAAGATATTCTAGTCAGAGAAGTTGAATTGTAAGTTGCATTACCAGCTGCAGATGATATGCCAACGTCTACTATGCATACAACAAAGCAATCCAATCTTTTGGGGAAGCTCAGCATTCCTACTTCCAATTATTATGGTATGACGAAAAAGAAGGTAACGTAGAATAAATTTTAACTGCGTCACTAAAACTTGTTTAAGTAAACACGACTTGGCCCCATTATCACATTTGACTGAAGGGCCAAACTTCTTTGCATGTACTGCACAAAGAACCGATCGTCCAAACAATCCGAAACGTGAACCCTACCCTATAAACCTCGAATGCTTCAGCGCGAGCTGAGCTACTAAACATTATTAGCTTCTTTTTCCACAGCGATAATCTATCAAGGAAATACAAGGTCGGGTCCAAATTCTCTCAGAGAACAGCATCTTCTAGTTAGCATCAATCTCCAGGAACGGGACACACCAGGAAATGCAGCGAAATCACTCGTCATGCGACTGCTACTACAGATTTTTAGAAAGCCCTAGGTTTTCTTAGAAGGAAACAAGTGGCGTCGATGAACCCTAAAAAGGGATCTTGAGGATGAAACAAGGAGGAGCGAAGGGGAGGCAACGCGAAAGCAGAGGAGATCAATAAGAGAGAGATAGAGAGAGAGCTTACCGTTTGCGGCTTTATCTCCTGCGTCTTCGTCTTCTATTCTTGTTCTACCTCTTCGAACCGATAGGAGTCGTCAGAGAGAGCGAGACCGGGTGGGGGGGAATATGATGATTAGGTTTTCTATTGGCAGGGGGGCGACGCCGTCTTGGCGAAGGCAGGGGAACGGGCGGGCCGAGAACGGATAGAAATTGTGGTTCGGCTCGACCAAGATCCAAACTCGGTGCGGTTTGGATTAATGGGTTCAGAGAAGTGGACCGAGAAACGAGCCCATTAGGCCTATTCATGGCCCATAAGTCCACCCATGCTTGATCCAGTTGCCCGTTTCGGCCATCAATGAACTCATAATAAAAGGCCGCGTTCCCTTCACCAATTATGACCCGGTCCATGACATTGAGAGACCCAATTTGGGACCTTAGGGAACATTGTGAGCTATATCGGATCAAGACACGCATCACAATACAAGGGACAGTTTCATGGCATAGAGACAAGTTTGTGAGACTATAGTTTATGCAAGGAATATTAATAGCCGCAGCTGGTGGAATCGATGAAGCACCCTTTTACATTGTATATATATATATATATATATATATATGTCCTCTATTCTACTCTTCCCGTGATTTCTCTGCTCTTCTTCGCCACTTGTTTTCTGGGATCGTCTTTATCACGAGATAGGAAAAGGTATGAACGATAAAATCTTTTTATTCTTAGAAATGACGTGTAATAAAATGATTGGTATGTGAACAGCTCCACTTCTTTTGAGGCCGTCGTCCTCTGCAACCGGTTCAAAACTCCGACGCCATGTGACTTCAGACGTACCTCACGCAGGGCGCGCTTTCATCAGCTCCAGGATCTCTCCGTATCCAACACAAATTTAGGTTTTGTCCTCTTCTTCGGCGGTACGATCCCATCCGACACGACCCGACTGTGGACATGCCCTCCTCCCTCGCAGTATATGACACCTACGAGACGCTTGAGTCGCCCAGAATTCCACCGAAGCAAGAAGGACATTTCCGACCGTCTCCCATGAGAAGTACAGGCCACATGAGGACAACCAAGACGAGGTTGCGGCAGTGTTTTCCTCGCACGACGGGTGTAGTTATCATGCACCACCAAGCCGTTGAGTTCTTATGGTCTTGGGAGTTCGATCCGGAGGGCTGGGAAGAAGGCACAGTTCAGCTTAACCTCACAGTCTCGCGGTGGATGATCACAAGGCCAAGGAAAGCAACGCAGAGGAGTCACGCGAAGAGTCGAGTGCGCTCCTTGGTATTTGCTTTTACCCTGAACTCCACTGTCGGGCAGAGCCACAGTCTTGTTCTTTTGCTACGAGATCAGAGAGAGAGAGAGAGAGGGTGAGGGATATATGAGAGGGGGAGGGGAGGGGAGGATAGGGAGGGAGGGTCCATCAGATGAGAACATTTGGTTGTTTCTGCTCCTTTTCTGGTGTTACAGTGGGGTAGAAGAGCTCCATTCAGTCCAATAAAGAGGGTTGAGGAGTGGTTTAGAGCTGCCATCCCATGGATTAGGCCAAGCCTTGTGCTTGTTTCACAGTGGAGAAGTCACGCATGGTGATGGAGGTTGCCTCTTGAAGATGATAATGTGGGGGATAAGCCTTGGCCAATGCATGGTGTGGGAGCAACTCCGGCCACTGGCTTAGCCCGCTAATTGGACTGAAGGGAGCTCCCAATCATTCCACGCAGCACACCGTACTCCCTTTTTGCTTGTTCTCGTCTTCCTGGTTTCTCCGCATGCATGCCGGTGGCTGCTTGGCTAAGTCAATCCGACATATATCCTTTTGTTTCTTGCAGGAACAAATTATTACCCTCGTTTAATTACTTCTCGTGTTTCTTTTAGACAGCAGATGGACTGTTCGCAGGACCCCACAAGCTTGGCGTTGGCTTTCAGCTTCCACTGGCATTCAGAGAAAGATGTCATGGTTTTATGCTTATTGCGTTCTCCGTCTTTCCTCAGTAACTTGTTCTGTGTTTCTGTCACAAACGCAGGACTCTTTTTATACGAAATGAATGAATGATCCATGGCCATGGAGCTTCGAGATACACAGATGGAGGATGTTAACTTGGGTTCCATTTACTTATTCTGTGACTCTTCATTTGTTTTTCGTGAAGGAACATGTCCTGTTCGGTTCTCTAAATATTTCATATTAGAGAGATGTATTGTCCGTCTCCCCAAGACTGACAGAATAATCTGTAGCAACTATGTTACTCTGTTTTCTTTTTGGAAATGAAAGCTGTATTAAACGTTAATCAGGAAGGTACAAATTTAGCTTCATCAAAAAGAAATGCACAATCGCTCGAAATGCTTCTCAGGTGCCATGGCCAAGGATCAAAACTGTTGAAGGCCTCTTGATAACCTGGAGACTGTTAGAACGAATACATATGTTCTTGAAACACTGATGAGAAACAGAGAGTAGGGCTTCCAAGGTAGCTGCACCTTTTGAAGCATGTAGAATGAGCTGACTTTTCCTGATCGAGCAACTCACAAAGGAAGCATTAGTCTCAATAGAGAAATCAAAGAAAGATGGAAAACATTGCAGCTTCTGCTGCATCCAACACCGATGAGAGTTAACCTCGACTCTATGGTTGCGAAAATGACAATCATTATAGTGATTCCAAAGTACCCATGAGGAGTTAGTAATCATTACCAGAGAGTTAGTGATCATTACAGTGTACACCGCGTCATCGAGCTTTAGGACCGTCGGTTTTGGCTTCTCTGGCCCGCTTCGGATCTTCTTCCTCTAGCAAGAAGGAGTCGTCCCCCATTTCTGTGGCCTCCGAGGTAGATCCGAAAGCCTCCGCCACCCAGGTTACAATGTCTTCAAAGGACCCGGCCATGGCATGTGATGGTCTCGAAGGGGAAGAAGAGGGTTCCTCCTATGGAAGCTTGGTAGACTTCGACTGGAACTGGAAGTCTTCCATCGGAGAAGACGATCACGCTGGCCTCGGTGTGTCCGTCTCCATCGAGAAAGGTCACACCTCGGACTCAATGCCCCTTGAGTTGTACGAAGGGCCTCCCACGTCATTCAAACAAGCCTTGGCAGGTGCAAATCAGCAGGTTGTAGTTTCCCACAGGTTAGACTCGGTATAGGGGATGGGGTACCATCCCTGGTTACATCAACTGGTCTCATGAGTGAAACGCCTTACTCCTCGTTAAGGATGATCGCCTTACCTTTCTGATGCATCGTACGCCCTCTAGGATGTCGAGTCGATTTGTTCGGCCTAAAAGGAGCTGCTCCCACCCTTTGGATTGTTCGACCATTACCCAGAACACCAGGGTCGCCCGTTTCCTAGAGACTGGGTGTGTGATCGACGAGGATAACCTCATCAGTGCTAGGTTCCTGGTCATCTGCATGCAGTGGACCGTTGGAACCCTTGTTAGACCTAGAACTGAGTTCAAGATCCCCTCCAAGGCTTATGTGTATTGACCTGGTCCGGTTCTGTCATTGAACTTTGATCCAAGGCCCGTAAAGGGTATCGTCTTCCACCTTGGACACTGGTTCAGAAACCCTCGGTTGGCCCTTCTCCGAAGGTTTGGGTTTAATAGTGGACTTCTGGGTAACACACTGTTCTCATCTGTGGCCTACCATACCATACCTGAAACAATGTGGCATGCAAAGGAAACACCTCGTCTCTTGGGTAGTTCGGCTTTTAGGTAATCTAGAGGGGGTGTTGGATCAAAAAATTTACCATATAAACTCAAAGACCAAGCTTTGCACGCATCATCTACCTCCTGTTTGTCCAAGACGAGCTCAAGATTGGAGGAGGACTGAATCCGGCTTAGCTTGTCTTTAAGCCCAGAGGAAAATTTTCAAGCGTCAATGCCGTGAGCCCTCCGGAACAACCCTGCCCATGAGATTGGGGTAGCGTTCTTGGCAGCATCAGAATGAGAAGGAGCAGCTTCCCCTGCGTGAGGAGAAGGCGACGCCGAGCCAGAAAGGAGGGAGTCGTCCGATGAATCATCAGCAAGTGGGAAAAGGGCCGGTTGTGCTCGAATGCTTGGTTCTGGATGAAATGACGAGGTGGGGGAGGGTCGGGCGGAAGGAGAACAGGAGGGGAACTCATCTCGGAGCTTTTTCACGCTTTCATTGACAGACTCCTGGAAATTGTGCTCTTCTCACTATATTACTCTGTTAACATTCGTTGATCTTATCTTCTCCTTTATCATTCCTAGAAGCCGTAGCACAGGAACTGTTGTATGTACTCCTGTAATATTTGAATGAGAGTGTGCCAGTCAATTGAAATGACATTTCGTAGGAGCACCAAACAAGATTGGGTATAGCATGAGGAACATAAAGCCTAGCAGTATACATATATATATATAGCCCGAACCGGGCAATAATTTGCGATTGTAACGGGCTCGGCTCGGGCTACACAGAAACAGAGATATAATGTGGTCGATTTCGGGCTTGCTTCCGGTCCAACATCACCAACTCGAGGCCCTTATCCCATTTGAAGGTCAAAGTCAACGGCACATGGATGCAATTAATGATTTCGGAGGACAAAAGTTGGCATCCAGCATGCTTATTGTCGACGGAAGAGCTTATCATTCTGGGCGCTGTACAAGACCAAGTTGGCCTGTTAATAATAGTAGATTCAAGAAACATTGAGTTGAGGTCGGCATCAAGACTAGACTTGGTACAAAGCTTTGAGGGTGAAGAAGAAGGCCTTGATGGTGGAGTGCAGAGCTGGACCCATGCCACCATGTTCCAAACACAACTCAATTATGCATAAAGGTGATGATGGTGCTGTCCACCCACCCAAAGGACAAGTGGGAAGAAGGCTGAACTGTGGCCTGCCAACAACTGGACCCCACCCCCCTCCTTTTCTTTAGGCCTTCTGCTCCATCCAGCAGACATGTTGACTTGCTTATATATATCGTTTGGACCATAAGAACTGTGTTCTAATAATCCCACACAAAACAGGTGGTTTGTGTAAGTAATCTCCAATGGACACTGCCTGCTCTTATTGTTATTTGTCTTGCGAGAAGATGCACGTTAAACGGGGAATGCAAGGTTGGCACAGTGATACATGCGGCTAAGCTGCATTGGTGGCAGCACGCAGCAATCATAAATAGCAACGGAGCACCAAACTTGGAATCTTCCCCCCACTGTGCAATAAAGAGGCTTCACATGCGCTGGTGGCCCATGTGAGAGCAGATGTTCCGTTAAATCTTTTACGGAAGACGTGACTTCACATTGTATATATATACACAACAATAATATTTATAATATTTATATTTGATTTATTTACAGTATTTTTTTAATTTTAATTATCATAGGTGATATTATTTTTTCTAATTATTATAAATATCTATTTAAATCGCAGTATAATATATAAATGGTGGTTTCTAATATATTTTAATTTCATTTACCTCATTTACGAAGTGTCTATAAGTGGTTTATTGTGATGATAAAAAATACTAAGAAAAATACTACTAAAATATAAAAAATGAAAAGAATTGTAAATTTCTTTTTTGGGGGGGAAATCGCTCTAAAACGATCGGTCGATCTTTTATAACCTATTAATATTACTGGTAGTTGCCGGTAGCCGGTCATCCGATTCCACGCACCTTTTTCGCTTTTTTCTATTTTTATTAATAATTAATGCTCCCCTCTTTTGGTCTTCTTCTTTTTTTTTCTATAAATCTGCCCCAAATCCCTCTACCCCTCTCCTTCTCCTCGGCCTACCTATTCGGATTGCGGTCCGTTTGTTCTCTCGCTGATCGACGGGTGGATTAGGTAAAGAAACAATCAGTAGTTCTTGATGCCCCTCATTTCTCGTTCGTTTTCTTCTATCTTTGCTCCGGTTTCGAGCGGCCGCGAGCTACGTTTTTCGTGAGATCTGGGCCTTTTCATCCCTCTCTTGGTGCCTGTGGCTGTAATTTCAAACAAGGCTAGGACTTTTGCGTGTTTTTTAAAGGAGTTTTTGGCTGATTTTTGGATATTTCAAGCATTTTCGCTCTTCTCTTTGAAATTTTGGGATCTTATTGTTCTATTTTGTGGTTGCCTTGAAGCTCTTCCTGTGGAACGTTGCTGCTTTTTGGATTGGAGCTTCTCTCCTTTCTATTTTCGTTCCAGATCCGTTTCAGAATCCTGTATTGTTCGTGATTTGGTGTCTCTGCTAAGAGCTTTTGACCTTTGTGTATGTGCAGGCGTTGCGATCGTAGATCTCGAAGATATTTAGGCAAAGATGAACCACTGCGCGATGCAGCAGAACGCTTTCGCCGCCGCCTGCGAGGAGATGAGGGCACCTTTCGCCTTCGTTGACCGGAAGGCCCCTATCTTCTGCCCCAGGCCCCGCCGGTTCAGCCCGCTCGCCGCCGTCGTCGATCCAGTCCGACCCGTCCGGTGGCAATCGAGGTGAGTTATTCCCTTCTTTCCGGTCTGAAATCTTAACCTCCAAAACAAAAATCATTTTCATCTACGCCATGTCTAATACCATGTCCCTCTTCTTTCAGTCACCAGTCGGATTTCTCCGATTCGAACGCCGGGCCGGACCCTCTCGATATATTTCTCGCAAAGGTGAGATTTATTTGCCGCCCTTTATACATCTACCATCCATCATCGGCTTGTTATCGTACATGATCTGAAAATTACACATGTTTTGCTTACAGGATGAAGAACTGGACCAATTAGCTACGTCACCGCCATTTTTCTGCGGCTCGCCACCCAGCCGCGCTGCCAACCCGGTGGTCCACGACGCCCGGTTCGGCGAGAACCACCCGCCGGCACTTTTTGCCCCTTTACCACTAACCCTATCCGGCCCACCCATGTCTCCCAAGCAAGGCTGTGCCCACGACAAGTTCGGCGTCTTGCCGGCCACCGTGCGGGTTGAGGGTTTTGATTGCCTCAACCGCGACGGTCGGAGCTGCAGCGGCATCGCTGCTGTGGCCTAAACAGCCCTGCGCGTACCCACCCCCCAAGCGTCCCGAGCTTTCTTTTTGGGCCGCTGTGGGAGCAAAGAGGAAAGAGGAAACAAAACTCGACACAAAGAGGAGAGTCAGACAACCCACAATTAGGTGCTAAGCATAGCAACAAAACAAAAGCTTTGAGGTAATTTGGAAGGCCTTGCAGCGTTCGATGTAATTGTACATTTTTCTAGTACCAATCTTTTGTGTATGTAATCTAAAGGTTTCATGTGGATACGAGATGAGTGATGGGAAGAAACAGAGAGAGAGAGAGAGAGAGAGGTTGAAGCCAATCTTGTGATGTTTTGTTTTTTTATCCATATATTGGATTTTAGGTATTGATAGAAGTAGTGGCTTTTTATCTGTATAAAAATTGTAGCAGGTTGGGTCACTCATCGGTCATGAAATGTGTATATAATCCTCATGTTAAATTAGTATGTTGGAGTTATGTTATGTAATCCTCTTGTATTAGTGAAGCTGATGGCGGATGGAGTTTGTTGTGCGTTGGGAATTCCCATCTGTTGAAACCAATGGTGTGTGAGACATGGTCAATGTTGTCGACTGAGGAAATAGGGGAGAAGGTGCGATGGACATGTGAAAGGTGACCCTCCAACACATGATACAGAAAATGTCAAGTTGGAAGAAGAGTCAATTGGATTGCCCACCTTTCGAAATCCCTAAGCATTGAAATCTATGCGCATAAAAAAAGAAGTGACAGCACAGCACGGTTGTTTTCTTACATCACAAGGATTGACTAACACACAGCGCTGAGAGATGTGTTGACCAAGGTGGAAGATGGACAGACGGTTCTCCATGGTCTGCGTGGAAGATGAACCAAGACGTGGACGTGGACGTGGTCGTATGGCTTTTCTGTGCATCCACAGATTTATGATCAGACCTTTGAGAGAATCCGCCGCCCGTGGAAATTTCCGCTTCCAATGAAGTGAACTGAAAGCAACTTTTTTTTTTGTCGTCTCCCAGCGTTGTTTTAATTCAATGATATAAAAATAAAAAATTAATATATAAATATGTCATATCAAACGGTTATCATCTCCTTCTTCTCGTCGCCTCATCTAGAGCCTTCAACGTCAAAGAAGTGGGGAGAAGAAAGATAATATTGATATCGAAAGGTTCTCCATGCGACGGTGGCAGTGAACAAAAGAGACCGTTCGAAGATGAAGAAGATCGGGGTCTTCGTCGTCTTTCTCGTTGTCGCCCCCCCGATCCTCGCACCTCCAGCTCTCCCTCTAAAGAGGTACGACTCTCCTCGTTATTACTTTTCGGATCAAGATCATCAAGGGCGGGTGACGTTGGATCGGGATATAGAAAAGGAGTGGAAGACATGTTCGCACAGAGGTTCGATTGGCTTAGGTTCATCGAGACGCTAGTGACGATACATCGATGACTCCATAGTACTCTTTTTTTGACACTTTTCTCTCTTTATTGATGTTTCTCCTTTCTCTTCGAATATCTTCTTCGTCTCGTTGTAGCCAAGCTAATATCATCCGGTAGTAGACGATCCACCTGTCGATTAGCTGATGGACCGATACATACCATCCATACCAGACATATGAAACGGTATTAAAAACCTTAACTTGAGCATACTTTTCACTTGATGTCTATTGTAAAATAACACATGTATTTCAAGAAGAAAATCGTGTTACTATTTGACTGGCCAATCGACCAATAAATTTTTTGATTTTTAAATAATCCATCTCCTCTCGACTTAGATCTTTTGGTTAATACTAATGTCAAAAGGAATGTATCCATTTGTCAATAAAAATTCTCTAATTTTTTATTTTAAAAAATAAGATAGATTAATTAAAAGTAATTGTGCTATGGTGAGCAGATAATAGATAGTTACAATATATCAGTGCACACGGAAACAGCCGCGATTGTTCTGTGGTGTGTTGCTTCTGCGAATCGAATTCCACCGCCAAAGTATGTAGAAAAGAGCGACGGGACACAGGATATGGATGCTCGATGCCGATGGGCGCATCATCTCATCTCAGCTCGGCGTTCGTCCCTAATTTGGACAGCACCTGCGGCCGCCGCTCTTTGTCGACCCAACGTAGCTGAAAAGCCCATGATTCCGATCGCCGACAACCGCTGTTGCTCATCCACCACCGCTGTCCCATCGGTCCGCTGCTGCAGATTTATTCGTCGCTTCGGCCTCTGCGGGCCTCGAAGGCTCAACCACTGCCTCTTTTCATGCTCTTTCTTATTGCTTTATTTTACGTGGATGCCTCTTTCCATTACACTATTTAGCATATCCAATGCATAAAGGAGCGCCAAACGTTGGAGTAAGGGAAGGGTCGGTCATTCAAGACTCCGTCAGATGTCAGCGGATTTGAAACGATCCCGCAGCTTTGAAGCTGTCTGTTCTCCATATATATATATATATATATATATATATATATATATATATATAACAATCGATTTACTTGAGATGTCCATATCTTTTTCATATTATAAGTTCACACAGCGGTTGTAGTCTTCGTAAATCACATTGGAATTGTGGATTCACAACAGTAGAACAGCCCAACAATGGTTGCAATAGTCTTCCCATTAGAGGCCCAGACGTGTTGTTTTCGTCTTCCCTGCTTTCTTTCGTCCAATCTCCCATGTCCCCCCCCACTGGCAATGAACTTGAACGAGAAATTGGAATTCAGTTCCCAAAAAGACGACGCCAAATAACACCTGAAGTATATGTTTTCTCGAATAATCCAAAAAACAAGCTGATACATAGACAAATCTAACTTGAAATCGGAAGCTCGTTTCTACATAATCTCAACTCAAAGTGTTTAGGATGTCATTGGTGGATTTAGGAATCATATTATTCTTGGATCGCCCATGGGCTGTGCGTCGCACCCACACACACTACTTTTCCCCGTCCCTATACGGTCACCCAGAATTTTCGTCCGTCTTCGCTTGCTTCTCTACGTATGGACCCCACACGCCCCCGTTCCACCAATTACATCCATGGGTATTACGTATGGCCACAAAAAAAGCTAATAGAAGGCTTCTATTTGGTTTTAGTTGCCTTCCCACACACGCCACCGGAGAAGGAATACAGGGGGTGATGGGACCCGCCTCTGGTTCTTGTTTTGAACCGCTGGGTTCCTTCGCCGGAACACCTTTTCCTTTTAATGTCATCTCATGATTACAGTGTCGGCAGGAGGATGGCTTTCCCGCGGCTCTCGTGACGGGACAGGCTGTGCTGCCGGAGCTCTTTATTGTGTGTCGTCGTCGCCATTACCGGTTTCGGAAACTGTGGGTAGCTGACAGCTCCCCAGAATTAAGAGCCGAGCTGCCAATGGACGGACGAGGGAGAGCTGAGAGTGAATAGAGTAGCCAGCGTTCTCATGATGACCACTCTGACAGTCACGCGCCGCTACGTTCCCCCGCGGATAATAGAAACAAAGACAGACAGAAAAAGAAGGGACATGGGGAGTTGCTCCCTCTGACCCACCTCTTCATGGAGATCTCTGACCCAGCTCCAGCTCAGTGTTCTCCATGACTGACAAGGTGGCCCAGTTGATCCCCCAGAAAGAAGAAGTGTTCGTGTTCGTGTTCTAATCTTTGTCAAACGTCAAGCTTGAACTCAAACACTACTGCTTCCTTCAGTCTTCGGCGTACACCCACGTACGTACGATGCAATAGAGTACAAATGTCAACAAACAAAGAGTCGTAGAAGCATTTGTTTTGCTTCGATTGAACGCGCAACGAGAGATCCTCTCGCGCCCATGGCAGTCTAATTCCGCTGGTACAGCGATCGACGTCGTCAATAATATGGTATCACTGTCTATTATTCTCTCTGTTGCTTTCTTGCTTTCTGTCGTTGTAGTACAGTATTATCCCACCATTTTCCTCACTGTAATCTTGCTATTTAATGGACGACGTTGCGGCATCAGACAGACGTCCGCTGACGCACCAAGTCAATCGTCTCACCGATGTCGGCAACTCCGGATGATGGGATACGGCATGTGATTTGGTCGGCGTCCGGCGTTACACGGAATCCGATCGAGAGCTAATCCCGGATAAGGAATACCGTGGCAGACACTATTAGTACTGTCATTATCCAACAAAACTGCCGCATCCTTGTGTACGTGACATTTCAGAGATGATGATGAATGGTTCAGCATAGTGTAAGGTACTCACGGGAGCAGCTGACCTTTCCACACGTACTTATAACATCCAGAAGCAGCCAACGCCTGTTTGATACACGGTGAAGGCAGAGAGAATCGAAAGAGATGAAACGAGGCAGAGCAGAGGCCGGGCTGCCGTCCTCCAAGGCAGCCGCCGAGTCCCCTGCCAAGGCCCAGCGGCGTCAGAAGGGGTCGACGCCCAAGGCATCGGCTGCGGCGGGGAGGACGAGGCAGGCGGTGAAGCCGGATCACGCGCGCAAGGGCAGAGGAAACGACAAGGGCCCGGCTGCTGCTGCGGCGGCCGACCTGCAGCAGTCTTCTACTTCTCCCGTTGCGCCCGCGGAGGAGGAAGTGGTGGGGTGGGTGGACGGGGCGTCGGAGCTGGGGGATTGGTGGTGGGGCCTGTGGGGCGTGGAGGAGGACAAGCTCTCCGGCTGGTTCCCGTTTGTGGACGAAGACTTCCTCTGCTCCGATGCCAGGGGAGGAGAGTTGTCCGGTGGACTGCTCTGGGAAGAAGCTTACCACGACATCTGGCAGCTGCAACACATTTACGAAATCCCGCAGGCGGCATCCAATTGACGAAGGTCTAACCGCGGCTTTCTCGTTCTTGCTTTTCTTTTAGGGGTAGAGGAATCGAATGGGAAATAGAGAACGAGACAGATTAGAAGGAAGGGAGTGAAGGAACAACGAAAGCAGCAAGAAACGCAGAAAAATTGCATCTTTGGAAGCGGTTTTTTGTTGATCTGTTGGTCTTAATTTTTGGTTTTGCTAGTTGGCTTGTACAAATGGTGTCTGCTGAAGGAAAGCTGCTTCCTTTTGCTTACTGATGCATCATATTGTGCTCTTGCGTTCTTTGCAGAGATTGCATTCCTTGGCTTAAGCAGAGTTCATCATCATCTTCGTTGCTCTTCACCAAAGCTCCCTCTTCTGCTGGGAAACGGCATGCTATTGGAAGTCCACTACGGAAACAACAAGGAATAGAAGGAAATCGCGTCGTTGTTCTTCCAATTAATCTATTTTGTGAAACGAAAATTTAGAGCAATCAAAGAGCTGAGTATGAACTCTGCGTAAGCCTCTATTTTCTAATCGGCTGCTTTAGATATAGCAGCCAAATCTAAATAGTCCATTTCCGGACTAATTACATAATTACGCAACCCTTGTAGGATTGTGGTTCTTCAACTTATAAAAATCATTACGCAGCCCTTTTAGGACTGTGGACAGTGCTCCCAATAATACATATCAAGATTCGCTCATGGAAGTCAACCGGGAGAGCGACTAGATAAGTGCCCCACCATCCCATCTTCTATGAGGGTCAGCGCCCTTCGAGCACCGGAAGAGTGGTGACGTGCGAGAGGACAAAAGCTGGTTAGGATAGAAACAAGCGACGTGAAATGTAGTGATTTAGGATTTGGGAAAACCAGGTGAAGATCTTCTTCTCCTTCAAGATTGTTTGAGGTTTAAAGGCTGTGCAGAGCGAGGTGATTGCATGTAAAACCATTGTTTGCTTAGACGTGGAAACCCGTTGGAATTCTACATATTTAATGTTGGAGGCTGCCTTGATGTATCAAACTCGAAGAAGACAAAAGGGAAAGGAATGCCATTGGAAGAAGATTGGGGTGTATGCACGTTCGATCACTCACGCCTTGTTTAAAGATCTTTTATGTTGCTACTATGTGTATTTTCGGTTCCTCTCCTCTTATTGTTCCGCAAACCTTAAGCCGTGGCCGCGTGTCGGTATGATTTGGTCCGACTGGTGACGTCCAAGACCATCTTGAGGACGAAGGTCTTGCTTGATCGGGTCAAGCTCGGATCGAGTAGGGACGCGTCTCTTTCGCGAGCTTGTCCGTCTGCCTTCGTTGTCACCGAGTTCCTGCACACAGGCTTGGGTCGGGATGGGGAATGATCTCGACTTGGGCCCCTCCAAAGCTCAAGTTAGTGGCCTCCTGAAGTTTTTCTGATACCCCTCGTTAGATGCTGATGAGGGGTTCCTATTCTTGCTCCTGGGGGTCGATCGTACGCGACCTTTGTCGGTGACCGACCTAGCAAACATACCTTCGGGCGTTCATCGCCCGGGATACATGGGATGGCGGCATGCGGAGCCGTCCCGGGTATCCCGGAGCGGTCCTTGTTGCGATAAGGCTAGTCGGCGCGGCGTCAGTCGGCGCGGCGCCAGACGACGTGAGGAGGTGACCATTATTGTCTCGGATTGGCACTACGTCTCCCTCCCAAGGCTTTGCACTCAAGCTGATGTGGCGGGGGTTGAGTCCTCGTGGGGTGATCCATAATATGCTCTATCACTTATGACACAAGCGATAGATATACGAAGTAGGTTTTTGGCATTGGGATAAATATTAATCAGTGCTGTTAGCATGATGATCAAAACATTCGTTTGATGGCCAACAAAACGAAGAAACATTGGGGAAGCCCCAATCCTATTAACATATTATTGTTGATTCGAGACATAGGCAATTGAGAATGTTGATGGCTTGTGTGAAGTCATTGTATGAACAATACAAGATTATCGAGATGGGAGCTCAGATTTCATTTGTGCAAACGTCAATTCAAGATGAAGATGATGCGAAAACATATTGTATGAGTATGTGTTTGCAAGCACCTGAGAGCAAATCAAAGCTGGAAAAGTTTTTGAATGACGGTTGTGAACCACTGAAAGCTAAGGTCGAGTTATATATGTTGAATCTGTGGATACATGAAGGAGGTTTTTTATGATGATGATTAATAGATACTCTCCGCTGTGTCTTCTGAGAGTGCTTTTAGCACTGGAGGAAGGGTACTTGATCCTCATCATAGTTCCTTGTTTCCACAGATTGGATTAGGTTGAAGATTTTGAGGAGCTCGAGAGATTAGAACAAGATAATTTGGTAGAAATGCTTTATATAATAATGAATTATTCCTTTTTTTTGTTTTTCTTTTTTACAGTAGGCTTCTCATCATGCACATGAAATTACGAGTTACTAGTCTCGATGAATAAGGGAGATGCTTTTCAACATTCTGGTGTTATATTTATCTTTATAAATATTAGTGTCTTGTTTCTTGCTTCAATTTATAATTCTTCAGATGAAGTTCTACAATTTGGATCAGAAAGTTGACTCACCGCTATGTAACTTTTATATTGCAAGTTAAAATGTTATAATGTTGGAAAAGTAGTATTTTTTTTTAAGTTCATAATTTTATCCTTCTAATTATATCATTAACATGCTTGAAGCACTCAGCAAAAGAACATCCATGTCGTTTGGAACAGTTGAATCAATATGTCGCATGCATCATGATATAGCATATTTTGGATATTTTGGTATCTACCTTATACGACACATCAACTATCATAACAAACTCGATGTGATGTCCCTTGAGTGGATGTGTCTCGCTAAGCCAACTCAGCATCATAAGCTTGAGGCCAGTTAGTCTCCAGACACCATCCCTCTACACCTACTCTGCTCGAGGCTATCTAGGCTGATGCGATCATGTATCAAGTCACATAGGAGGTAGGAAGCAACGTCAAACGAGACTAAATCAAGTGGATCAGACAACGCCTGCACCCAACACACAGGTCGATCACTTGCGATGTTAGCGGGCATTAAACACTTGCGTATGATGATGACCTCAGATCATTAAAGTTGTTACGCACGACCGCATGTAGGAACAAGTATAAAAGCCAACCCCAGAAACAGCGTTGGGGTCGGGCCTTATACACATACACTCCAACTTCCTCATCGCCAACTCTTGCTAACTTAAACATTAGAGAGGTTGAGTCAAGAATCCCTCTCCTGATTTCGATCTGTGTATAGGCTTCTGACGGTCAGCTAAAAGAGTGATCTTCAACCTCCACCTAGGAAAATGAGGCCTACACCCCACTCAACCAGACCTCGGGTTAACATGCTTCAGCTCAAAGACCATGCTGGTGGTCTTACATACTCGGGATGGGCCAACTAGCGTTGATATAACGGTGCAAAACACATCATATACTATTATTCGTACTCTTCTTGAAGCTTGATGATACTAACAACAGATTGTAATAGAGTAATAAGTTGCAACGGAAGAAGATCCTAAGCAATGGAAGTGGAGTTTTGTCATAATATTTTATTTTAGAATGCTTAGAATAATATTTGTGATATATTTTTTTTAAAAATATCGATATAATTGGATCAGAATTTTAGTTGGGTTCAAGTAAATCGAATCGATTCACCAAATCAAGTCGATTCATTTAAAATTTATATATTTTCTAAATAAATTAAAATTAAAAATCGATTAACTAGATTGAATAGGTAGATTTAAAATGATTTTATTCGAAGCACCTTACTTTAATCGAACCAAACTTTTTTTTCGATTTGACTCGATTCCGCTGGTGATAAAAGGCGTAGTTGCGGTCGAACCCTTTCCAACCAAACTGCTGGGCCGCATACCATCGCCAGTCTTCACCATCCCATCCTCGTCTGGCTGAGGAAAAACCAGCGTCTCAAGACTTGCTAATGTGCCAAAACTTTGAGGTCCCTCTCTTGCTATTCCAATCTCTTTCTCTCCTCATTGTCATTGGAGATCCGACGAGCACCACGACAAACGTGCTGCTGTTGACGAATCCACATTTTCCTTCGCCATCGTCATCGTCTTCTTCTGTTACCCTCTCGTATGTCTTACGAAACAAGATCTGTGATATGCGTGTTTCCTGGAGAAGGATGGATTAGCGTGGTCTGTTTACGTCCTTCAACCCGCAGCAGCTTGTATTACTCGACGTCGAGGCATCCAAAGTACCTTTGTTACGCTGCAACACATCATTGAAGCTGGTCTCATGCAGCCCACCAAATAGGTCCGATGTGTATTGACAATGGCGCTGCGAAACCTCCTGTTCATTTCGAAATCGACTTGGAGCTACTAAATTATCTCAACATCAGTCTCAAATCTATCTAATGGAGAGATGGAGATAGGATTCATTTGGCAGTGATTGAGGCCACCCAACTGTCCCAATCATCTAACTATTGCCAAACTAAAGAAGTATCCGAGGAAGAACGTGGCGTCAACAGATCCCATTCAATTAACTCAAATCTCGATTCAAACATTTGCAGTCGAAAGCCCACTAGAGATTTTAGGTAGACGTTGCAATCGTTGTTTGTCTTCATGACAGAGGATTAAGCTAACTGGTTAGACTATAAAGTTCGGGAAAATTGATGATCGGGATATCATAATTTGCTGCTGACGTTATATTCACGACCAAGTCAAGACTGCAGTTTGAACATTGAAGAGTCTGGACGTCTCAGATGTGATCCGTCATAACTTTGAGCTCGTCTTTGCCCATCTCCCTTGATATTACTGTACAACTACTTGTCAACCACTGTGGAATGTCGAGAGAGGATCCATGGAGTTGTGGTCGGAGCTGACCGGTAGAAATCATATTAAGTTGCTCATTGACATGGCCTCCTTGTGCGCAATCTTGCAGTCTGGTTAGAGGAAGACTCGGCCATTCCTCACCATTTTTCTGACCTTTAGCAAGGTCTTCGGTCGGTCTTCTGCCGTGAGACGTAGTGGCGTTGTCTCTTTTGCAGTCTTCAACGTTTGCTCCTGCGAAACGAGAGCAGCAACCTATCTATACCTGAAGGAGTTCTGAGCTCATATCAGCCTTAACGAGGATGCATGCATGCGACATATAGTTCATAGTTTCCGCCTTAGCAGCTTACCGACTCCGTAGAACTAATCGAGAGACATGCCCGAAACAGCAGGTGACATGTGCTCCCAAGTTCTGTGGATCATCCACGACAAGTTGGTGGTGTCCGATCGGCAGTCTGAATGTGGGCGACGAAGGCTTACTAGAATGATGTGCTGCTCGACAGCAAGCCATGCTTGACCACACCCTCCCAGGAAAGAAGAATTCAGTGAAAGAGATCAATCATGTCACATCACCGAGTGATTCAAACTGCTTTGCCGTGGTACCACCGAGCATTCTTAACATGGATTGGTATGTGGAGTAGATATCCGAAACAGATGCGACCGAGAGGAGAGGCAGATATGGATGCCGACAACGTGTCGTCACCTACCCGTCAAGGCAGGTGCCGCACGAGTCCCGTGGGGATCTCTGCCATTGTGGCACGTACGGTGGGTGTCTGCACAGCATCACTCTGGGAGTACTCTCGGTGGCGTTCTACTTCAAGTTCAAGGGGTAACACCATCTGATGTCAGTGCCATGGGAGGTAGCAACCACGAAGCATTCATCTCCAGAAATGATAAGGTGCATATGAAAGCAGAGAAGTTCCATCTGACGCTCCGTGCCATTGGAAAGGTGGTCAGGGCTCTCTTTCATTTGCTCTCGAACTTTGACCTTCAGCGAAACTTTCAGAGCGTGTCCGTAGCAGCAATCACCTGAGTGATTTCTCATTTTATTTTATTTTTCTTGGATTCATCAAAAGAAGGTTCCTTTTAAGATAAAGGAAGATTGCATTATTTCCATTATCGTCATCTATATCTATATTGACCTTATATAAGTTGATTTTTATATGTAATCATTTTTACCATTCTTTTCTTAATTTTTTACCTCTGAAAAATCTCAGGACGAATTTCCAAAAAAAAAATCATCTTTTTTTATTTTTTTTTCAAAAAGTATCCCATTTTCAAATATGCTAACATATCCTCCTTTTTATCTCATATCTGGAATATCATTTCTCTCTCTTTTTCTTTTTTTTTTCTTATGGACTGTAATACCTAAAAAATATCATAATACAGTGAAAAATAATATAACATAGTATTTTTCTAAAAACACTGTGATTATATTGTTTTTATATTGTGTTATAGTATTTTTAACAATACCAAAAAAAAATAATGTAATGTTATAATCTTTCTGTATTATGTTATAATATTTTTCTGATATTGCTAACTACACTGTAACTAAAAATAAAAACATTATAATTGGGTTAGTTTCAGATAAAGCTAAAATTGATTTATAAGAGTCAAATAAATATATTATTATTAACTTTAATTTAAAATATTTTTATTAATAGATCAGTTAGTCCATTCAATCCGAATCATGATATTTGATATCAGAATCAATTTAATATATGGGTATGGTGAGAGGATTTGAGTAGGAATATTATGATCTCACATGTATTTTGTTATGATTTTTTTTGATGAAGTTAATAGCTCAGTTAACCCATTACACCCGGATCAGGACTAATTTGTATAAAGTAAAGAATTGTTACATAATTTTGAAAATGTTGAGCACTTTTCAGAATAAAGAAAAAGAGGATTGTTTGTTTGGAATTAGTATAAAAAAGAATCTTATGTATTGTTGATTGATAGATAAAATGTTTCTGTTGTACCAACGAAGGATCTTTCAAGCTGAGGAAGGTCACCCGCCGCATTTATTACGTAGACACCGGGAATGGTAGGTTTATGTCGACATTGGACATCACAATGTCAAGGATTGTTTTGCGGATTTAGACCGACCAAATCTTATATGGTTTGATTTTATATCACTTTTCTTCTCTCTCTTGGCAGATCTTTAATCCCTAATCCACTGTGATGCTAATGGCTCCTATACACATGCCATTCTCCTTATTGTTAGTCGAGTTCATTAGTATATATATACATATAAATATATAACCAATTATTCTTAAGTTGATAGGTCTTGGAATTGAATTTTTCTGCCAGGATTTGTAACACCTCTGCATACAATTTGTCATGAAGCTCAAGTTGCTGCCTATTGCGCCCGCGCACACACAAATACAGTAGAACAGAGGATGTTAAGGTTTCGTGACAACGATATATATACGTCTGCTGTTGTGGCTTCATATTACAATACTTTGGAGCTTCTTCTAAACTACAAATCCTTTGTTGTGTTGTACGACAGTTACCTTCGTCAATTCTGATTTGTGTCTGTCGCTGCAGCACAGCAAGATATGTATATCTTCTGTGGGTTACTGCGATTACGCACATACCACAAACAACGCAGATCTGTACATAATCTTTGGAGCACTCATGCCCTCTTCGACGTTACCTCCACTCGACCTTTCTGATACAGGGCATTAATCATCCCAAGTTAGCGAAAGAGAAGGAGCGTCGGGTTGGCCGTGTTCTTCTCCATGACCGATGACGGTATGCAGATCGTAAGGTCAAGGTTTAGATCCGGCAAGCCGCTGGAATTCTCCTCCAGGCTGCCGCTACCAGCACACCGCACTCGGTCGTCGCCCACCGTGGAGTTGAGATGCCAGAACGACATGTTCTTATAGTTTCTCGTGCCGTAACTCGATGGAGTCGCACTGTTTGAGCTCCGAGATTGATGGAGCGGCACCTTCCGGGCCACGCGGTGGTTGTCAGGATCGATACCCATGCTTGTGAGCTTCTTCCTCAGATGAGAGTTCCAGTAGTTCTTCACCTCGTTGTCGGTTCGCCCCGGCAGCCTCCCAGCTATCAACGACCACCTGAAACAAATACACCGCGAACCCTTCCTTGTACGTGGATGCATAAGCCGGAGTACCATAGTTGATTTGCTTCTCGTGGGATCAGATGGCATACCGGTTGCCGAGCAAGGCATGGAGCTTGATGATGAGGTCGGCTTCGTCCTCCTGGAAGTTCCCTCTCTTAACATCAGGCCGGAGGTAGTTGATCCATCGAAGCCTGCAACTCTTACCGCACCGAAGCAGCCCTACGAAGAAGGAAAAAGGAGTAAGTACCGTAGGATCGTTAAGCCACGAATCCCAGAAGTTAACTTGCATTTGGTAGTCAGAAACCTGCAGCCTTGGGGAGTGCTCTCCAGCAGCCTTCTCCATGCACTCCGACGTAGTCGATGAGCTTCTGGTCCTCCTCTTTGGACCACGCCCCCCTGTTGGTGCCTTGCTTATCACAACAAGGGCTCCTCATTGCCGTAGAGCAGAGGCAGGGAGAGAGAAAGAGGTGCCAAGATCTGAGGTGTCTACGGAGGATCGTTGCAGGAGACTATATAGTGGGAGTGGAAGATGGTCAGGAACTGGTCGCCATCCGTGCAGGTGGGTTGCGGGCGAAGAGTTGACAGGAAGACTGGTGGTTTAAAGTTGGGGGTTGTGAAGGGGGTGTGCGGCTTGGTAGTTGCAGATAGAACTTAGAAGTCTTCGTGCCTCTTCCAGGAAAGTGACCAAACTCCGTAGATATCTCGTCTTCCCTAAATATGTCCGAAGAACAGGAGCTGGATGCACGCATGGCACATGCTCCCAAGCTGACCGATAGATTTCCCTCTGTGCCCAAGCGGTCATCTCCCCACCATTACACTGACGCTTTGTTATGCTTCCTCGCTTGATCTAAAGGAATCTCTACTTCTCTATCAGTGTTATCCAGCTGCATGGCCTGTGCATGGGGAAGTAGAAGAAACCCAACAGAGAATCGCTTCGTCGTCGTTTACTTCGAACCAGTAGTTTCGGACAGCACAAAGTCAAGAGCTATCGCGTTTAGGCTTTAGAAAAGCTTGACTTAGCGGACGAATGGGGATCGAACTGGTCGGTCGGTCATACCATATGCGGCCACGGGTCTGAAGTCTGCGTGCGTTGGCAGGAAGTTGAGACCTATATTACCTTTCTGCCCGTCTTCTTCTTTCGTGGCAAACACTTCGACTGTGCTAGAGTATGAAATGTCTTGATTTCCCCTGCAGCATGGAGGGTTCTATTGTTAACACTCGTATTCTTCTTATAATCTTTTCTTCGCGCGAGTAGAACACCCATTCTCGTAGTTTTGTTGACTACTATAAGAGCAGAACACCTGTTTCGAAACGGTGCACTTGGTGACAAAGATGCGGGGAAAGCGGTCTAAACTTGATCTACTAACCTGAGCAGGTCAACGCCATACGTCTCCGTGGTCAACGTTCATCGTAGTTCTTTTCTAATTGAGCAAGTAATGACCGTCCTTCGGTACTGCTATGAGTTCTATGTCTCGACAGTTCTGCCATGTCAGCATAATCCCAAATGATCCCAATCCATCGCTCCGATGGGAAGAGGGCTTCTTCGAAAGTCAAGCCCTCCTTTTCTCTCTCTACATTTTAATCTCATTTTTGGTAGTCTTACTTTAGCACAAGGGGGATCTCATATCGAGTCTTGGCACCTACATTACTTTTGGCTGGATCATAGGTCTCGACTCAATCAAATTGAGCTGAGCGACATCGACATCGGTTAACCTGCAATTAGAAATAATTCTGTTCTTTTTTTTTTACGACACAATAAGTTATTCTCAACATGATATAAGAACTAATGTTCACCAAAAAAATAAAAATAAAAGATTGCTGACGAGATAAAAAATAGTTCTATATCGCTAAGATTTCAAAAATATATTTGGTTTTGGATTTAGTTGGTGCCCAATTTTTTTGTGTGTGTGTGTGTTAGATTGGACTTATATATATATTTGAGTCAAACGTGTTAATTTTAAAACCTCAATAATTGATATTTTTATTTTTATTTTTATCATCAATCGAGCATTTCTTCACAAATATACTTCTTCTATAAACGTTGATCTTGATCTTTTCATGAGCATATTTTATATTACTTAGGGGTTAATTACATATGACTCTAATATAATAATTTGATTCTTATACTTTCAAAAGTTATATTAGGATTCCTATACTTATATATATAAGTAAAATATTTAATCATGTCTCTCCTCATGCCATCAACTCTATCGACGAAAATACTATAGGGTTTATCATCGAGCATGTAAGTTTTTTCGTTAGCTGTGTCAATGATGTGAGGAGAAATTAGATTGAATATTTTACTTTCATAAATATAAGAATCCTAATATAATTTTTAAAAATATATAAATAAAATATTAAAAAATTAATTATAAAAAATATATATAATTAGTCGGATGATGTGATAGCACATCGGAGGTCAACACTCAAAACAAAAAAGCATGAAACAAATATGTACTTCTGAATCGTGTACGACCTGATTATTTTTAAGAGAGTGTTTTACAAACCAATCACTAAGTACTCGTCGACAACTACAATTACATCAATCGCAACACACAAAATTCAAGTAGTTGCGGACGATGTCCCTCTAATCTCTATTCATGATAAGAAACCAGCGTTAATCCTACGAAGAACGTTCTGCCCTCGGTATTTCCTCAACTTCTCAGTGTGAGGGGTCGAATCATTGCATTGTCCTCGTGATCGAGAATCTGCACATGAGAAGATAAAGGTTCATTGAAATCAGGTAAACGATGACAAGTGGAAAACTCCATCTGGTCTAATCTACGTTCTTTGCACGAGCTACACACATTCCATCTGCTCCATATACGTCTATGAATGAGATAAAAAAGAGTATGAACCACTTACGTGGCAATGATAGACGTAGCCAGGCTGCTTCGTTGCATCAAACGGGTAGGGCGCGTCCTCGTCGATGAGCTTAAACTTCACTACTATCGTGGTCATGTGGCCCGGCTTGATCTTCGCTATGTTCTTCCACGTCTTCTCGTGCTCCGGCGCGGCTTCCAGCTGCCCCACTGCGTGAGCCTTCACGTTGCACTTGATGGCGTCGTTCATCCGCCTCATGCATGCCGTGAACGCCTCTAGATCCACCAGCTCCCTCACCCTCACCGCCTGAAACGTCGCCAGATGCAGGTGCAGCGGATGGTTGTCCTCCGTCAGGTTGATCACCTCCCACACCTCGGTGCTCCCCGACTTCGGCGTCTCTGTCGCTGGGTCCTCCAACCTCTTACCGTTGATGTACAGGTGCGTCGGCTCGCCGGTCGCGCTCTGGTACTCGTACAACACGATGTACCTCCTCGCCGTCCCCTCGTTTTCGTTCGCCACCGGGTAATTGGCCATTAAGGTCGCCGGAATCTTAGAGACGTCCTTCGTCTTCTCGGGTGATATGACAAACTTCATGACCTTGCTGCTCTGGGTGCTCACGGGGTCGCCACCGGGGAACGGGTACGGCGCGCTATTGGTTAGCCTGACGGTGGAAGTTGCTGACTCGGAGAAGTCGATGACGACGTCGTAGATTTCGGCCGGCGCGATGAGGATGCTCGACGTGGTAACGGGCCTGCGGAGGTAAGTCACATCTGAGCCGATCACGGTGAAGGGCAGACCGTCGGACAAGGAGAGGTGGAAGTAACGAGCGTTGCTGCTGTTCAGGATGCGGAAGCGGTACTTGCGGCTCTGGACGACGAGGTACGGCCAGGCTTTCCCGTTGACGACGATGACCTCCCCGAAGTACTCGGGCTGCCACTGAGGGTGGACGGTGGGGTTGTTGCCTCTGTAGTTCATGTACAGGGAGCCGTCCTTGTAGAAGCTCCGGTCGTCAAGGACGAGCTGGCGGTCGTACTCGTCGCCGGCGGGGAGGCCGAGGGGGGCCTCGACAAACGGGTTGCGGATGATATAGATGCCGATAAGGCCGGCGAGGAGGTTGGCGCGGGTGAGGCCGAGGGCGTGGTCGTGGTACCAGAGGTTGCCAGGGTGCTGTACGTTCGGGTAACTGTAGTTTGTCTGCGTCCATTTCGGTCCCTTCTCGCGAAACTTAGCGGTGTACCATGCGAAGGCGCTGCCATCAGCCTGCGGTTCGTGGATGCCTCCGTGGAGGTGGACGACGGCGGGGACGCCGCCGTGCTTGGGGATGGCAACCGGAATCGTCGGGTCCCATGGGAGGATGTGCTTCTTCGGGAGGTGGTTCTCCCAGGTCACGTTGAGCGGGACCCCTTGGATGGCCTCGATGGTCGGGCCTGGGAACGTGGCAGCCTCGCGGCTGGTGCCGTAGATGAAGACGGTGGTCGCCGGCAAGTCTCTGTGGAATTTCTGCACGAAGCACACAAATAGAGGACAAGCGTCAAACTTGGTTTAGTTACCCCATAAGGCACTATGAATCAAAGTACGTAGTCGAATGGATTAGCCATGCATCGGTTACAATCTAAGAAGAAGGATAACGATGAACCATACCCATTTCTTCTCGAACATGCCAATGGTGAGGCCAATGGACATTGGCCGGCCATCCTTTATGGAATAGCCATAGATTCTAGGCATCATCGGCAGCGGCTCGACGTACTTCTTCAGCGAGTGAGCTACCCGTCGAAGCGTCTTGTCGGTCACCGGAGAAGGCTCGCCGGTTCCGGCAGCCAGACAGGCGACCAGGAAGAGAACTGCGAGCACCGACTTAGTCATCATTCGATCGCACAGCTTTCCTGCTATGAACAAAAGAATACAGTCGTTAGAGCTTATTCTGCTGCTGCTTTTGGCTAGAGGAGGTAAAGGAGCGAGCATGCACTAAAGTAAATGAAAAGCTAAAGATGAAAAGATGATGGTCGAGGATGTGGCCAGCACAAACAAGTACTGATGTGACTGTTTTCTTGGAGAAGATGGCGACCATATGATTGCGGTTGAGGATGGTGGAGGTGATCGACCTCAAGGCACTCCCGACGTATGAAATGATTGCGGGAAAAGATAAGATGTACAGTAGTGGAGATTGCGGTGTGATAATGAACTCATTAGCCTTTCGAATCCCTTATGACTTTATGGAGTGCAAACTTCGATTGCAGTTGTAAAGGTAGCGAGGTATAAGCTGCCTTCCACATACGTGGACCCCCTGAGCTCAGAAATGGTTGGCACACGGCATGGAGGACACCATTAACAAGATTGACTTCACCCAAGAGACAAGAAGATATCTAATGCACTCTGCAATCGATCTCATTTCCCAGAACAGGAGAACACTATAATGGCAATGGCTGGAAATCTTTCTATCTAGAAAATGATGATGATGAGGAACTCATTGTTTCAGCTACACACCCTTCGTTTCAGATAATACGACGTATGCATGAATGAGAAAAAGGAGACCTAACAACTGAGACAACTCGATAGGTATGATGAAAATAGTCATGTGTTTAGATGATGAGGATGGATTAAAATAATAATATCATTTCGTTAAGGATTCAAATAGTTAAATTTTACATAGACTAGATTTGATCCATAACGTATAAGATTAAATTTTTGAATCAAATTATTTTTTGATATGATATTTATTTACTTTGACTAAATTTAACTTAGATGCATCAATATTTGATTTCTAAGGTCGTTAGAGAACCAAGTAGACAAAATATGATATGAAAAAGTCAAAATTAAATAAGAAAATTGACTTAAGATTATGTTTGATCATCAAAGTCGAGTAGTGGTTCGATGCTTGTGGATGCAGCTACAATTACAACAGCGCATCCTCCAAGAGTCGGTCCCATCAAACGGCTTCAACTTCCCCTTGTCATTCCCAGGCTTGTCTCCATCGCAACATTTTGAACCGCTCATCGCGGCCATCGCCACGTTTCGTGGCGCACCACGTGTCCGTGGCTCCCCGTTCGTGCTGCACAAGTTGTTACAGATCACACGTTTCGGTCGATCCGACGGAGTTGCAACGCCTGACCGTTACGAACCTGGGTGTACCGGTCCCGTCCGCCCCCTTCCAAAGCCACATCATGTCCTCGTAAGTAACAAGCGACACCAAACTCCAACCAGGAAATGGGGCCCCACTAGCCGCAGCATGTCGTGGAGATGCTGCGTTGGTGTAGAAGCCGCATGCGTGTCTGACGCAACGTTGCTTGGACCCGTTCCCTTTCCTCTATCCCATCGTGTCGAGCATACACCAATAGGCGGCCTCTTTAACTATAAAAGCTCCCATTCTTAACTCTCTCACGCTCTCTTGCTCTCTCGCTCTCCCGATCGATCGATCACTTTCTATGGCAATGGCACATTTGGCAGAGACGTACGCGTGCGTGCCGGCGACGGAGCGGGGGCGGGGGATACTGATATCCGGTGACCCGCGCTCGGACACGATCGCGTACTGCAACGGGCGATCGGTGATCATCCAGCAGCTGGGGGCGCCGCTGGAGGTGTCGATCTATGGGGAGCACGCGTACCAGGCGACGGTGGTGCGGTTCTCACCCAACGGCGAGTGGGTCGCCACCGCCGACGTTTCGGGCGTCATCCGGATCTGGGGGAGGCACGGCGACCGCGCACTCAAGAACGAGTTCCGCGTCCTCTCCGGCCGCATCGATGACCTACAGTGGTCGCCCGATGGCCTCCGGATCGTCGCCTGCGGGGATGGCAAAGGAAAGTCCTTCGTGCGGGCCTTCATGTAAGATATAGTGTTTATTCTCCTCCGGTTCGCACCCCCACCCACCCCCACCCCCCAACATTGTTCTTTTCTGGTCACTGTTTATGGAAAAGCGATAGGGTACCAAAGCTTATAGTATTTTTATTTTATTTTGATTATCTTTTTTTTACTTTTGATTACTAGATATGAGAAACCGTAACAAACATTAGGGCCAGGAAATTGAGCTTCTCATTTTATTGTTTGAAAATTTTTTGTTTTAAATTGGAAAATAAGGTTATGTTTTCTCCGATTACGGATGCAGAAAATCTCTGGATCGCATTAAAGTTCCCATACTATTAAAAAATTATTATGAAAACCATATTGTTTTTTTTTTCAAGGTTTTTCTGCTTATGTATAATCTCCGTTCTTATTAAAAAATCATGGCTCTATTCACAACTTAATGAAAAAGTCATGTCTGTGCATTTTTGGATGACATGTTCTTTCTGTTGTCCTATGTTGTGATTGTTAGAACTTGTAAATTAATGTTCAGGTATTTAACATCTTTTATCTCTTTTTCTGTATATCCTGTAAGTATAATTTTCATTAGATGACTGCTTATTGCGTAGGTTTGGGAAATTGTTTTCTTGTCTAGGTGGGATTCAGGTACTAATGTTGGGGAGTTCGATGGACACTCAAGAAGGGTATTGAGTTGTGCGTTTAAGCCAACTAGACCATATCGAATTGTCACATGTGGTGAAGATTTCTTGGTAAACTTTTACGAAGGTCCACCCTTCAAATTCAAGCTTTCCCATAGGTTTGTTCGAATTACATCAATAACATTGCAAGCTATTTATTCCTGGCTTTCTTGACTCTGTTTCCTTACCGTTTATATTCTGGTAATGCATACATATGTATTTCAATATGAGAAGATGTTGAATGATGTTGTAATTTATGGTTTTTAAACAAGATGGAACATTTCCTGCAAATCACATTATGCATAGGAAAATAATGGCATATAGAAAAAAAATTAAAAATGCTGTTATTAATTAAAACAAAATTGTAATGCATTTATCATTTTGCTATGTGGAACTTTGTCATCCTTTCAAAGTGGATCCCTTAAATAGAACTTCTAATTAAGTTTATGGTATATTTCTAACTGTTGTAGTATATTTAAACGTATGCAAACTTATCTGTTGTTTGTGACCTGAAGCAGTCACTGAAGAGTAATTGAATTTCATTGCACATGTATGCCACCAACTTCTATGTTCATTTGTTTTTTGCATCCTGCTAAATAAGATAATATAATTCCAACTTATGCAAACTGATCTAGTTTGCATGACAATTAGGACACACTGGAAAATAATTGTATTTCACCACTTATGCAACTTTTTACCTTGTGAACTTTTTTTTTCTTGAACTGCAGGGAACATTCAAACTTTGTTAATTGTGTACGGTTTTCTCCTGATGGAAGTAAGTTCATCACTGTGAGCTCAGACAAGAAGGGACTTATATATGATGGAAAAACTGGAGAAAAAATTGGTGAATTGCCCATGGAAGATGGTCATAAAGGTAGCATATATGCTGGAAGCTGGAGTCCTGATAGTAAACAAGTAAGCACCACTTCTGTGCTTCCATTAATTTACATGCACCAAATTATTTGCAGTGCTATATGGTCATTATATTTTGTGTGTATTTTTCCAAGTTTAATTTTTTGACATTTCTATTCGTATATTCTCTAGATTACTGTGCAATAGTTTTTTCTTCAACATATGTCATTGATTTCTTTTTATTTTTCGTGTCAGTTTGTGACATTAATTTCCAATGTTTCCTTTCTTTTTGTTTTGGTTTCATAGATTGCTTTTATTTTTTTGGTGGCACTAGCAAATTTTGATAGCAAGGTAATACTCGATTTAAAAAATGAGAAACTCCCAAGCACGAATGTGAGATACTGATATTGATGCCCTTATACAACAGTCTTAGATAAAAGCAGAGACAACAAGGCAAAGAGATTAAGAAATAAGAGTGTTAGAATATGTAGATCCATATTATGCTAATTATTTAGCTAGTTTTGCCAGCCTATTTTCATTATGAAAAAATATGTATTTAATTTAAGAAACGTAGAAATATGGCAAAGCGGTGTTGATAAACTTGAGTTAAAATACCATTGATAAACAATTTTTTTTTGTCCTTTGATGCAATGATTGTCTATATTTGGCTTGGGATAGTGTCGGTACCTTTTTGGCATGATACAAGGATAAGTCTTTGATGCAATGGTTGATTGATCCAATCTGATGGTTTAACTGATTTATTTAATTTATATATCAATTTGAGAATAAACTCAGGTGTGATGTGTCTGCAACCTCATCGAATAATTCTTTCCTACCTGTGCCCTCATAATGTATCAATGGATTACCATATGGCATGATCTGATCTGATAACTGACCCATCTAGTCCTATGTATCAACTTAGACATGGTGCAACATGCTGGCCCAAACTTGAATCACATGGTGGCCCATGCCAGTCATTATGATAATCTTTAATTTGAGATGAAATATCTTGAGTTCATCCTCATTGATGAACCAAGGATACATTCAGTGACCATCCCTTTTCTTTTGTGATAATTGATAATTAACAACAGTCGATATCTTTGCCAGTTGCTTTGAAATTGTCCTTTCTCTAGAATTCACCATTGCAAAGGCTTTCTTGACTTTCTAAGAGCAGCCTTATCACATGAACCATCATGTCTAAGTTGTTTAAGTCATTGTCATTCTCTGTTTTACGTATTAGTTTTCTCAAATTTGTTTCTCTTTGCTTTTACTTATCTCTCATAAGTAATCGCCTTTGATGTTTGTTAAACAGGTTCTGACTGTATCTGCTGATAAAACTGCTAAAGTATGGGAGATTATGGAGGACGGATGTGGCAAACTGAGGAGAACATTGGAATGTCCTGGTTCCGGGGGAGTGGATGATATGCTTGTTGGTTGCCTGTGGCAAAATGACTATCTTGTCATAGTTTCTCTTGGTGGAACAATCACAATATTCTCAGCCAGTGATCTAGAAAAATCACCAGTATCATTTTCTGGACATATGAAGAGCATCACCTCTTTGGTTTGTCTTCTTCAAGGTGGTCAGAAAGTCTTTTTGTCTAGCAGTTATGATGGTATTATTACAAGATGGATACAAGGCACTGGTTATGTTGGTAAGTTAGTTAGAAAGGGAAGTAGCCAAATTAAATGTTTGGCTGCAGTTGGAGAAGAAATCATGACTTCAGGTTTTGACAATAAGGTGAGAATTCTCGGATGCACGCTCTTCTTAACTGGTTAGAAATTGAATTTAGCTTTATTATATCTGCTTTTTAATGGCAAACCATAGATTCATTTTAGATAGCCATAAATATAATTATTTGGGTTCAACTACATTGATAATTTTTAGCTATTGAATTTGTATGAGGGGCTTATCTACATCCAGAATAAGAGCCATCAAGTCCCTTCTCTTGTTTTAGATGAAGTTCTCTTATGAGTTTTTATGAAACTATTCATATCATTTAGTTACTCTTACTCACCTTACCTAAATTGATCATGCATAAATTTCCTTTGGGCATGCGCAAATACCTTGCCAAGTTGATTGCAATATGCTTATTTTAATCCTACAGTGGTGGGGATATTATTATACTGCATGTGGGAGATATGTTTCCACAAACCTAGTAAAAGCTTCGCATATTGTACGATGACAATGGAGAACTAGTATTTCTTTCGTGCTTGACTAGGATCATTCTGTTGGACCCAAAATATCTATTTTCCCCTTCACTTACAGGTTTGGAGAGTTCCTCTAAATGACGATCAATGTGGGGATACAGAACCAGTTGATGTTGGGTCTCAACCAAGGGGAATAGCAGTTGCACTTCAGATCCCTGAACTAGCATTGGTTTCAATTGATTCAGGAGTTGTCATGCTGCGGGGTCTAAAAGTAATTTCAGAAACAAAACTAGGATATGCTGTGACAACATCTGCAATTTCACCTGATGGGACTGAGGCTGTTGTGGGTGCTGAAGATGGAAAACTACACATTTATAGCATTACTGGAGATGCTCTTACTGAGGAAGCTGTTCTTGAGAAACATCGAGGAACTATTACTGCTATATGTTATTCCCCCGATGCTTCCATGTTTGCTTCAGCAGATTCCAATCGAGAAGCTGTGGTTTGGGATCGGGAATCTCGAGAGGTAAACTTTTCTTAACTTGATACTCTATTCTTAGTTTATACCATAATGATTTGAATTCTGTTTTTTCCCTTTGCATCATCTACCATTTTGTTGCCCATTATATTTGTTTATTATGATTACCACTACTAGTAAATTGCAATAATGGAAGTAGAGCTACTAATTTTAATCATGATAGTCGTGACTTGTATACTATAAAATACTGTATTGCACATCATCTGGTTTCTTGTGAGATCCATCTGCTCATACTTATATCAGAGGTTCAGGGAACTTCACAGATGAAGGGACTCAGTTTCTAAAACCTTCATACTAGTAAATAGGTTAGCAGTCAATTCTGGAACTTCAAAGATATTTCCCGAGTGAAAATTCCTTTTCAAACTTTTTTTCGTGTTTCAATAACCTACAGGATATTGAAATATCACTAATGATGTTTGCTCACACTTGATATGTGATTTTTTGTGCCAAGTAGTCATTCCTGGCACAGAAAGGTGTTTTATGAAAGATCAATTTAGGCAAAAGAGTTGTCTACGATACCAGATCATGACTGACAATCATCTGCAGGTAAAGTTGAAGAACATGTTGTATCATACTGCACGTATAAATTGCCTGGCGTGGTCTCCTGACAACCACTTGATCGCCACCGGCTCGCTCGACACCAGCGTAATAGTGTACGAGCTGGACAAGCCTGCATCCAACCGGATCACGATCAAGGGAGCTCACCTCGGAGGGGTGTATGGAGTAGCTTTCGGTGACGAGAACAGTCTGATCAGCGCAGGAGAAGATGCATGCGTCCGAGTGTGGAAAATAGAGCCACAGTGATCGACTTGCACCGATGGCCGAACCGTCGCCTTCTTTTGGATTGCAGTTTTCTCAACAGGTTTGCAGTCTGCTTTTGTATTTACTCACTCTAATTTTGATCGTTTGTGATTGATTGAGAAAAATTATTATTTTCCATTATGGTAAATATGTTGTGGTGCGTAATTGCATAAAATTAGCTACTATTCTTAGACATCCGTATTGATTTGCTGATGGATTTGGTTTATGGAGTCTAATAATAATTAAAATCATATGATGCAGTTAAACCTTTTCTCGTTATAATATTCCTTAATATTCTAGGCAACGTGACGTACATGCCATGTCCTTAAAACTTCATGGTGTGGCTTTAACTCGTTTAATCAAGTCACCTTTGTTACCATCAAATTGATGAGAGAGATAATATATAAAAAAATCATTTTATCCAAAATCATATCTCAGATTTATAAAAAATAAGTCATTTCATTATTCATAATTTAAATATATATATATATATATATATTAATTTTTAATGAAATAACTAATATAAATATATGATTCCAAGTTTAAAACTAATTAAATAATAAAAATTCACATATAATTTCTTAAAACATAAATATGTCTAATTAAATAAATTATAACTATAATAAACATTAAATTAACTAATCATTCTAACATCACAATTCAATAATTATGATTTATTAATCATAAAATTTTAAAATTAATATTATTATGTATCATATACATTATAATAATTTTAATATTAAATATTTTAAAATCTTAATAAAAATTAATAAAAAGTATCTATCTTTCTTCTACAAATCTCTTTTCAACCCTCATATAAGATTAAAGAAAAAAGAAAATAATATTTTTTATTTTTAATTTAATTATTTTGCTTTCATAGATAAAAATAGAAATATATTATTTATTTATTCACAAACAAAAATAAATTTTATATTATTTAAAAAATATATATATTGCTCATTAGGAAATAAATAAATTAATAATATAATTAATTGACAAAAATTATAACTTATCCATAGGAAATCAAA